TATATATATTCTTCAGTTTCTTGGGAATGAGAGTCTTACTCAGTCTGACTTTTCAATCAACGATGTTTCGACATTGTCTATATGTTGTCTTCAGGTTCAAAATAATTTAAAAAGGTGACTATTCAGTACTCATTTCATTTTCTCGTTTTGAATAGTAGTCTAACATTTTGATTCTCTAAATTGTAAGTACAATTATCTAAATATTTTCATTTCAAATCAATTCAATTGAATATACTTCGCTCATTGGAAACATACTTGAGGTGCGTTCTACTAGGCGTTTGATACGATGAAAATCCTAATCTTCATAGTCGATGGTTGGCATAATTACTTGTGTATAGCCGCTGCAGCGCGACGGAAAAGATTATATTTAGAGTTCATTTCTCAGGAGGTTCTTCTAACCTATTTCAGATCCTCTCAGATTATATGACAGACAATTCGTTTTAGCATCGTTCAACATCTCAACTTGAGAAAAACTTGTATTATCATTTTCAGTCCGTCGTTTCATAGTTTAGGTGATATCAATTTCGCGTACCTATTCCTTTGTAATTTTTAATATGTTGTAGTTCAATTACCTTCAAGTTGAGAGTTAACTGGTGCACTAGAAACTACTTGGCTCCTTGAATACTCATTTTAATATCTTACTATTTTCTATCACACACCCACGAAATGTTAACGAGTGAACACAGTACATTTGTTTGAAGGTGATTGACAATGTGTTGACAATCATATAAAATGATTTGAAATCCCTGAAACAACTGAAAAAGAATAATCAAAAATGAATAGCTGAAAATAACAATTATATTCAGCAAAATGAACCTGAAATGAAATAATAGTGAAATAAAATACAAGTAAAATATAACAATTGAACAAAAATTAATAAAAATGAAGAAATGAAAAAAAAAATAAAAATAAGAAGTGGAGATATTCCAAGTAACGTTAGTTCACGACGTTTCGATTGTTAGTATCTACAATCGTCTTCGGGTGATGACTGGACTGGTTCCGTGGGAGATGACCGTTTTGGCGGGAGTTGGCCATTTTTCGCTTGATGATGGGTTTCCATATGTTGCGTATTTCTACGCTGGCTTGGCTGAATACGTTGTTGGACAACATGTATGCGGCTTCCTTGAATTTTCTCCTAAACTAATGTTCCTCTCTGTGCAAGATCTCAGCTTGGGACCACTCGATGTTGTGTTGATGGGTCCAAACATGGTCTGCTATTCTTGATTTGCTGGTTTCCCCTCGCTGTGTGTGTTTCTTGTTCTCGGCAATGCGAACATTCAATGGCCTCTTAGTTTCACCAATATAGGATCATCCGCACTCACAGGATATCCGGTAAATGCAATTCTTGGAATCGCAGTCTGCGATTGGTGGCCTGGTTTTCGTGAGGCTGCTACGGATAGTGTCACCGGATCTGAAGCAGGTTCTGATGTTATACTTGGAACCAATTCTTCCTATCCTCTCCGATAATCTTCTGATGTAGGGAAGTGCAAGCACTGGTTGTGACGGCTTCTCTTCCTTGCAAGGCTCCTGCTGTCTTTCAGCTAAGGTCTTTTCTACCATCGCTTTGGAGTAGCCATTCCGTTGAAGATCATTTTTAATGATGTCTAGTTCCTTCTCGAAATCTTCCTTCGTGTTACAGAGCCCGAAAGCACAGTCCAATAAAGTCTTGATGATTCCTCTTTCAGTTGATTTATGGTGGTTGGATTCGTGGTTCAGATACTGTCCCGAAAACCCACTCATACGGGACATATGCTTAACATATAATTTTTTCCATCCATTGAAGTCCCTCCTAGGTGGCGCAATTATAAGTTAGATGAGGCCTAGGTATCATTCATCGATCTCCATGGTCCATAAGTTCCTTTCTATTACTTCTCACAATCGCGCAAAAAACACGGCGTCGCAAGGAGTTTTTCTCTTTCCTTTAGGAGTGGCACCTGTTTTCCTAAGCAATTAGCACCGTTCGATGAGGCAGTGTGTTTTTATGAAATTTCCATAACTATTCTTGGGAACCATTATACTTTCTTGATTTTTCCACTGTATTTAATTTCCAGCACGAAAATTCTGTCGAACCAATGAGTACCTGAAATCTGAGTCACAAAGAAAATCTGACAGTGATCCCACTGAAATGAAATTACAATTGGAATTGAGTGAACAAGAAGCTTCAATTCTTTGGAAAAAGATTGAAGAACTCGAAGGAGAAAATGGAGATCTGAAGGACGAAATTAAACAAATTTCAGGAGGAACCTTAGCCAAAACAGCAACAAAAAGGTTATTATTGAATAGTAGAAAAACTGAGGAGACTACATTACTTGATTCGAAGAGAAAGGTAATTGAGGTTCAACTAACGAATTTGCTGTTGATAAATCATTTTCAGATTTCAGAAAAAAAAAGTGATAACAGCAGTGCAAAATCCAAAGATAAGGAATATTGTAGGAGAAAACAAGGTGAAGAAATGAAAGGAAACTCTGGAAGAAAAGCTATTTTGTCAGTATATTTATTTAGATTCCACTTGAAATTTCGAAGAAGGTTTAATTTTCCCGATTTAATTTCATGAACTTTATTTTTATAGGTCACAAGATTTGGACCAACAGAATTCTGATCTTCGTAGACTCCACGAGACTCCTCTCTGCATTGAAGATTCATCATTAGATAATGAATATTCAAAATTCTACTCAGGAAATGAATCAGTTGGTCATAATATCACAGAATCCCATAGAAATTACCAAAAATATGTGGACCAAATTGCTTTTTTGGAAAGTGAACTGGTGAAGAAGGATGAAATCATCAAACAATTTGAAGAGGAAAATAAAATTGGTGCGACTGAAGAACTCGAAGTAATGAATTTGTCATGATGTTTTTTTCGAAATGTAAAATAATCTCATTTCAGGACGATATTGAATCTAATAAGATTTCAAAAAAGATTACACTGGCAACGAAGGCTCGGAAGAAAGTTATGATTACGGATTTGGAAAAAGAAATCGGTGAATTGATTCTTGCTTTGAGAGTAAGTGAAAACATGAAGGAAAAACTACAGGAAGAATTCAATTCCGAAGTAAAAAAAACAAAGAAAGAATTTGAAACCCTGAATGGAGAATATAAGTTCACTAAAGATGAGCTGGATAAAGAAAAAACAAAATACTCCGAAATGTGTAAGATCAATGCAGAAATAAAATCCAGTTCAGATCAAATGAAAGAGTGTTTGACAAAGGCTGCTAATGAAAAATCGCAACTAGAAATGGAAATCCAAAAACTAAATGAAGAAAATGGAAAAATATACTATGAAAAAAACATTTTGAACGACAAAATATGCGAATTGCAGGCCACATTAAGTGAGATATTGACAAACTATTCAACGAAATTATTTTTCATTCAGTTAATTGTAGCCCTCCAGGAAAATGAGATCAATTCTATGAATCAAGAATCGAATGCCCTGAGGATTTCTTTGGCTGATAAGGAAAAAGAAATCGAAAGATTGAAGGCAGCCCTTATTGAAATTACTGAACAGGTTTGTATCATTACCATTCAATATGAAATGTAATACCGATGACCAATCTAGCAGAATTGTAGAATACAAAAAATATGGTTACGCTAACACGGTTATGCTCACAACTAGCTTGAACAGGAAGAGACAGGTGAGGTCTTCGTATACTGGTTGTTATTTAGAGAGGTGCTAATAGATCCATGCATCAGTGTCACTATTTTTCAGGTTTGGAGGCCGTAGATTTTTGAGTAGTGTCTGATTGTCGTGATGTTATGAGGGAAACATGAGCTACATGAAATTCAGAAAACCTACTCGACTATCGATTCCTTAATTGAAAAGATAGGTATCCGAAATCCTCTGAAGAGTGAAATCAACAGATTTCAATAAAATTCAACCAAATATCCTACAAAATACCTGTGTTGAAAAGGACACTGATTATAGTACAAGCTACCTATAGCGTGAAATATTCAATTCGTAAAATTTAGTGTCAAAGATAGAGCCATTTTTGAAAACTGTCCACAAATCATTATGGGTTGTGTACAAAAAAATGTATATGTCTATTATTCATGTTAGTGTTGTTCTAGTTTGTAACAAATGAATTTATATCATTTACAATCATTCTGATCATGTATAACTTTTCATTGGAAGCTGGAACCATTTCATGACGTTTTCCAAACAGGTCATCGCGTTTGAAATTGAATATAGTTCTATTTAATTATTCAAAAAAACCATAGGCCATGCAAAATGAGTTTAGTATATAAATATAATTCTTTATATACATTACTGCAATTTCAAAACATGAAAGCAGATATTTGCAGGTCTATGACCGCCCTTCCTTATTTCTCCAGAAATAGGTAAGTCGCCATGGACAGTCCACTTAGCCCAGTAGTCGCAAATTCCTACATGAAAAAATTCGAAGAAAGAGCCATTCAAACGTCAGAAAAATGACCGAAGCACTGGATGAGGTATGTAGATGACACGTTTGTTGTTTGGAGCCATGAAAAAGAAAAATTTCAGAACTTTCTAAATTATCTGAATTGCTTTCATCCAAATATCCAGTTCACCATGGAATTAGAAAAAAAATCCAAATCTCATTCTTTGATATTTTAGTGATCAACTATGGTGTACGTGAAGAGAACACACAGATCGATACCTACATAATGGATCCAACTATCATCCAGAACAAAAAGGAACCGTCATCAACACCCTGGTGAACAGAGCTTTAAGAATATGTTAAGAAAGGTACGTCGACAACGAAATAAAATACCTGTGTTACAAGCGAATTGCTACGACAGAAAAGACAGAATCCGCGCTACGCGTTCAAGGGAGAAGAAGAGAATTACCAGTGAAGATCAACCCCAAAGAACTTTTTATCTGCCATAACATAGAAGGTGTCACCAAACAATTCGTGGAATTTCTGAAAAAGGAGAAAATTAACACCGTCTTCAAACCAACGAAGGAAATATCTGAGTGTTTGATACCAGCAAAAAATAGCAGAGACCCACTCAAATCAACGGGAGCTTACAGGATTCCTTGTAACTTTGGTGAAGTGTTTATCGGTATTGGTAATTGCCTAGTCGAATACAAGCAGAGTTGCTGATTGGGACAGACCGAGAAGTCTGCAGTCGCTGAACATGCACTGTCCGACGGGAAAAACAAGATCCTGTTCGAAAATACCGAGAGGCTATCAACGTCAAATCATTACTCAACAAAAATGTATTTGGAAGCCATAGAAATAGATAAACATCAAGAGAACTTCAACAGATACCTACCAAAGATCTGGCAAACAGCCAAAACGAAGCCAAGCCATTAAAATCGCGCGGGTAGTATGCGCGAACCCGCCATTAGTGAAAGTGTGCAGAAAATCAGCAATATAAATGACACGGCAGAAAGGAGAGCTTCAGTTCAGTTCAGTACGGAGAGTACTGAACTGAACTGAGAGTACCACTAAAGGTGACTGTCGCAGTTGCAGTTGAAACGTTTGGAGATTATAAACAGAGAAGATCACGGCAACACCCGGAAGCCAATCAAAACATTGAAGCCAGCCGTGAAAGCCTGTAATTTCTTAGCATATTCATTACTCCACCTAAACAGTATAACTCAACTTCACCACCTTTAATTAGTTATAGGGGAGTAAAATGAGTGGCAGGTTGTGGAATAAATACACAGTAATCAACTGTTATGCGAAGTGTATGGTCAATACCATTGAAAAATGAATCTGCTGATTCAGTTACAGCAGCTAGTGCGAGTGTGTTGATAGATGCAAGCAATGTTTCAAAGAACCAAGTTTTATTATTCAAAATTCTCATCGTTGATGAGGAAACATGAGGAAACAAAAAAGTCTGCAATTGCGAAATGAGCTATCAGGACGTTGAAAAATTGGTATTATAGACAATTTCCACTTCAACGCCATTGGTTGAAAATTCTTCCTGAAATATATGACAGAAAAGTTGATCGCACCATTGGCATGAAGCCTGCAGAGGTAAAACCATCCACAAAATTTCTAGTTTATGCAAAATCCAAGAGGCAGTGTGGCACAAATACAACGATTCACACGTGTCAATGATTTTACCAAAATTGCTTGTGAGAGGAGAAGCATACGTCCTCTTTTATAAGAAGGATGAAACAAAATTGCACCATTGAGATAACTGGGAGAAAGTTTCTTGGTGCAATTATTAAGTATTTCTTGTTAAGTTCGAACAAAATAAATATTTTTGTTATTAAAAAATTCAAAATGATTATAAAACTCATTCGCCAAAGGTTGCACAGCAAATTTAGAAACTGAACTTTTTGAAGCCGTGAAAATTAATGATGCAGAGCCTCAACTCATGACCTATAAAATGTGAATGGGCTGCCGATCAAAGGTAGCTGCATAAAATGGAATCAAATATTACCAAAGATCGCAATACCTATTTGATGAAGCAAGTTTTGAAAAAGTGGCTAGGATTATCTGAATATTGCAACTCATGTATCAATGAAAGTTCAAAAGGTTGATTCCATTGTTGTAGTTTATGAAGGAATAGAGATGATGTAACATTTTATTATTTACTATCATCAAAAGATTCCATGGTCACCATGAATCTCCCGTTTCTCTATCTGCTCTTCTCTGGTCAGACACCAACAATCCCGGAAGTCAATGCTCCTATTGGGATTGAAAAAAATAACATTTTGACATAATATCCATCCATTTCTGCATGCACTACATGAATTATTTCAACGTTGGTCTAGTAACTCTGAAGCCACACAAAATTTCCAAAGACCAAAACCCTCAATTCCAAAATTTCAGACCCAATATACCCACAACTGTGACAAATCAAATAAGCCAAAATCCGAATCAACGACCTTTGGAAATCCAAAAATCCATAATTTCAATGAAACAAATACACGAAAAGCATATCTTCTCCACCCACAAGGCTTCGATAATTATACAGCAATTTTCAAAAAAACCAAAACTTTGAAGAATTTTACGAAAATTCCTACGACTTCGAAACGCATACCTATATTCCTAGTTATCCGTAATACGTAAACACAGATTACCCGTCGAATCAACCAATTCAGGATTTCCAAATAGACTTTTACAACCAGATCCTCCCCCTGTCGAACAAATTCAAAGTAATATTCGAACATTACATACATACATTAATCGAGCCCCGGTTTGAATTTCCCAGAACATTCATATAGGACGATCCCTCATGATCGATACAAAAAATGTATACTATATGCAACTAGCACGTTCAAAATGTTCATTGACACAAAAACTACTTCAACAAGACAACCCTTTCATTTTCGGAATTGATCGTGAAAAATAATTCGAAGAATTAAAACAAACCCTTGTTTCGACCCCAAAACTAATATACCCGAATTTCGAAGACACTTTTCTATTAACAATAGATGCATATGCTATCAGAGCTGTACTATCTCAAGGCCCTATTGAAAAAAAAATTCTCATCGCATACGCTTCACGATCCCTCTTTTCAGTAGAATCTTGAACGACAATTATTGTGCATAGTTTGGACAGTCAAACATGTGAAACCTTATCTCTTCGGACGAAAATTCAAAGTAATCACAGACCACAGACCCACTCACTTATTTTCCATAAAAAATCCTGGTAGCATACTTGCTAGATGGCGTCTAGAACTCGAGGAATATGATTATGAAATCCTATCAAAACCAGAAAAAATCAGCAAAAACGCTGACGCACTTTCAAGAATCAAAATCTATTCTACGAAAGCATGCCTCATCTTCAACTCAAAATCATTCTCAACAGATACTTTCATCTGGCTCACAAACGAAGATTCAGATCTTGAAATAATTCAAGACCCAAAAGAAGAAACTTCAGAAAACCGTGACATTCCTGAAACATCAGAAAACCTCGATAACCCCGAAATTCGTAAAAACAATTAACCGGAATATTCAACTGAACATATTACACAAGAATATTCAACTTTCGTAAATCTTTACAAAACCGAATCTCTAATTGATTATTCAAAATTCGAATATTCGAATACTTGACAAGGAAAACACAAACATCCTGATATTTTCCCGATAAAGAGATGTGTTTACTGCCAGTCTTCAACCATAGCCCAGTGACTA